GGGGATGTGGTCCGAGAGAGTGGAGTAGGTCAGGGAGCTGCCCTCATCGCTGCTGCTGATGTACTCGCTGCTGCTGACATCGTTGGTGACGTAGCTGCCCTGGTCATCATGGAAACTCATCTGGGTGATGGAGAGAGGAGAGGCTGAAGGTGGCACCTCATCCTCCACCCACCCAGCCCTCGGGGGTGTCCTGCTCCCTGCCATGCAGCCCTTGCCCCCCTCCGCCACCTGCAGAGCCCCAGGACGTGTCCCCAGGGGCTCTGCACCCATCCTGGTGCAGTGCAGGCTGCACAATGGATGCTCCATGACCAGGACAGACAAAGACCGTGCACCGAGCCACCCCTGCGCCACGCTCACCTCCTCGTAGTCGTTCTCGGGGGTGAGGAAATCATCCACGATGGTGACCCGGTGTCCCAGCTGCTCACTGAGGGCATCCAGGAATCGGTCGGTGTCGCGGCTGCGCGGGGGCCTGGAGAAGGTGAAGAGCTTCTTCCGTCGCGACAGAGGGCTGAGCGAGTAGTCCCGGTGCTTGGGGGACGGGGCTGGGCTGCTGTCGAGGCTGACATAGGGGTTGGACTCGGTGCTGCTCGGGGAAGCCACGCTGCTGTGCAGGCGGTAGTAGCACTGCTGGGAGGCCAGAGGGTCGCTTGGCCACGAGATCGCCATCCCCGGCTTGCGAGCACCTGCGGGACAGAGCGCTGTTGAGGGGGGTCCTGCACCCGGCATTCCCCGGAGCCCCCCACCTGTGGGCTTCAACGAGCCCCAGCACCGTGCTGAATGTGACGCGAGATAACGGTGCAGCCTGCGGGGAGGAGAGATCCCCCGGGCAGTGCCCTGCGCTGCGCAGCAGCGCGCCGGGGTCCCGCGGGATTTGCCATCCCACACACTCCGCTGCCCTCCTGCAGATGCAGCTTTGCAGGAGCCCTCGCTGGGCTCACGCGTGGCACTGCCACTGCTTAGTTATAAAACGGCACCAAGAGAAAGATGTCTTCCCCTCCGCCCGCCTGGCCAGCACCATCCACCATCGCCTGAGACCCCCCCCAAAACTGCCTCTCTCATGCCGTGGGAAGCGGGATGCTACCTGCAGCGTGTGCCAGCTCTGGGGCAGGAGGCGATGCTCTGTGCCGGGCAGCGTTACCCATCTTGCCAGCAAAGCTGCTGATCAGGCGGTTTTCTAATTCTGCGTAGACAGCTGACATCTGAAAAAAAGGGCAAAGAGCTGCTGTCGGTGCCCAAATCGAGAGGGGCCTTGTGGAGCCCCGGAGACCTGTGATGTGCTGGGGACAGGACAGTCACCGCGGACCCGCCAGCCCCCAGTCTCTTATTCTTTAAAGGAGTGCTTCACCCCAACCCAAGGCTACTCTGCCTTTGCTGAAGCTCCCCAAGAGCCTCTCACTCACGGCTGCAGGAAGACGCTGACAGACACCAGCCTTATTAAAGCTGACTAATTGCCCAGGGAAGAGATCTCAGAGACGAGCTCTGAGGCAGGGGTGTTGTCAGCCACCAGCAGGTATTTACCTGCAGACACATCCTTCCCCCGTTGCCTTTGTTCTGCTTTCCTACGTTAACATGAAAGGAGTCAAACTGTTGACCCTCCCTGTGAAGGCAACGGTCCCGCACATGTGGGCAAAGCGCTTCCTAGAGGCGTCCCCCCCCCCCAGCCCGACGAGGTCGCACCATTTTGGGGTTGGGCGTCTCCGGGAGGGATGTGCCGTCGCCAGCCTGCCTCTCTCCAGGGATCAGGCGAACCGGGACCTCCACGGTGTCGCTCTGGCCTGCCGGGGAAGGAAGAGACAAACCAGTCAGGAGCCCCTCCTTCTGCCTCTGCCCCCCGGGCTCCTGACCCATCAAGGTCCCCCCCGTCTCCTGCTGGGACCCGGAGCTGTCCTCCCTGCCCAGGCGTGCAGCGAAGCACCGGGAGCTCCCAGGTCTGGGGGTCCCAAGGGACCGATGCAGGGCGGCTGGCAGCCGCATGCGTGGGCTGCGTGCGAAACAGGGAACGTCCGACTGCGGGCTTCCCCGGGTGGCAGCAGAAGTCACCCGGCAGTGAAGCATGATGCGTGCTAGAAAACAAGCACAGCTGAGACAAAATCCTCCTGTGCCTTGCCCTTTGCCTCTCCATTTTCAGTTTCCTTCTCTATAAAATGAGTATAAAATTTATCTCTCGGTCTACCCAACTGGTAGATTTGGAAGCTGCCTATAAATCCTCAGCACCCGAGCAGTGCTGCGGCTGCGGCGGGGGTAGGCTGTTCCTCACCAGTGCTGCACTCGGCGGGACACTGCCGAGCGGGGGGTTTCCATCACAGCATTTCAGGGGAAGGGACATTATCCAGGGCACATGCAGGAGTTTGCACTACGTTGAGAACTCTCCAGGTATCAAGACGCCGCAGTGCCACGGGTGTTTCTTTTTTCTTGGTTTCTTTTCCTTCAGCCTCCCCCAGGGCAGTCAGGGTCACCACACATGGCAGTCGAGGTCGCAGTTTCCAAAATCTGGTCCTTTCGGTCGCAGATGCCCGGGCAGCGCTGGCCACCCCAGCAGCGTCCCCTGAGACGGGGCTCTGCAGGGGACATGAGGAGGGTGGGAGGGAGGGAGGTCTGGACCCCCGCGAAGGCACAAGGGAGCTTGCTTGGAGTGACGTTGATTTGACCAGCTCCAAATGAAACTCTGGTTTTCCAGTTACATCCGTGGAGAGCTTCTGTTCAGAGGTTAATGGCTGCAGCAGTATAAGCTCTCAGAGACGTGTCCAGACCCCCGATTTATCTCCGAGGGCGTCTGAAGGGCTGCCGGGAGGACGCAGTCTGCTATCCCTGCCTTTCCCAAGCTGCTGGAGGGCAGGTCGAATGGATTCTCATTCCCTTCAGCCACAATATTTCCAACCAGCGGTCAGGGCCAGGCTGAGTGCTGGGGCGGGCAGGCAGAGCGGCGGAGAGCCCAGTGGAGTAGCTCCGCTCACACCAGCACCGAACCGGACCCGTGTGCTCAGAGCCCAGCGTTTAACGGCAACAAAGAAAGAAGAGCCCAGGACAGGCATAGCTGGCTGTAATGAGAAAGGGCTCTGGAGTGGGGCTTTCATCGGGAACGGGAGGTGCAGCCTCCCCTCCACCGCACCACCTCCCTCTCCAGGGCTGAGGAGCGTTGTCTGCTTTTTATAAATAAATGGTTTGTGCAGGGAGGTGAGCTAAGAGCACCCGGGGCGGGATGCACCCCAGAGCCTGCTCAGGCTTGGGTAAGGTTAGCACGACAGGTCGCGGGCTGCTCTGCTCTTTCTGCAGGGCAGCTGAGGACAAGGCTGCTCCCCCGCAGCTGGTGAGCATCTGCCCAGGCGAGCAGCTTCCCCCCGGCGCACACAGCTGTCAGTCACTCTGCGTGCTGTAATCACAGCCAGAAATGCTCCTTGGAGGCGCGTTAGAGGATCTTCCCTGGGGAAATGTCTTGGAGTTGACTGCTCCGGCAGCAGCCCTCCCCGACAGCTGAGGAGCACCACGCTCCTGGTGAGGGGTGCTGGGCGGAAGGCGTGCAGCCGGAGCGCGGCAGAGCGTGGCTGGTCACAGTGGGGAGGTTGTGGTGGGGAGGTCGTAGTCAGAAGCCGTAAGCACAGGTCGAGCGCCCTTCGCAATCAGCTAAGGGTGATGGAGGAATAGGCAGGATGCCTTGTCCCGCCATCTGGGAGAGGTGGGCAAAGACCTGAAGGACTGAAAACACAACGAGCAACCTGGGGTGCATCTGGGGGAGAGGGTTAGAGATCCAGGGGCTGTGGAAGGCCCTGCAGCAATACCAGGAGGACAGGATTTTCAGAGGAATGGGGAGATATGGGGCTTCTCCCTGAAAAGAGGGAGGGTTTGTGCCGTGAGTGTAGTTCATCAAAAGTCTCAAAGAGGCACCGAACCATGATCTTCTTCCTCACAGGGATTCCACAAATGCCGTTTTCCCTGTGAATTTAATGGTGTCCAAGAAAAGTTCACAGGGAAGCTAGAAACTGTGCACCCCAGAATGGAGGGCTCAGACCAGCAGCATAAGTTCACATCTGAGCAATGGAAGGGATTGGAAACAATGCTCAGCTTCAGCCCAAGAGGCCTCTTACTGGAATTGCTTCTTTGAACTGTTTCTGAAAACACGGATTTCCAGTCAAAGCCTCTGTGCTGGCTCTATGCTGACCTCCATCTTTTCCCACTGTTCATGCTCAGGCACAGCCACCGGGACCCAGGTTCCTCCTCCCTGCAGGGGGAACCCCTGCGCAGCCCCCAATCACTCACCTGCTGCCCCCCCTTCCTCGGGGCGGGGGGTTCGGAGGCTTCCCCGGCACAAGGATGCCCCTCGAACGGAGCTGCGGTAGCGATCCTCTGCTTCTGGCTCAGCTGCAGCAGAAAACACCCTTCGTAAGGCACGGCCAGTGCATGCCGGACCCCGCAGGTCCCCCCTTCCTCCTCGCCATGACACGGGGCTCCCCCAGGCCTGTGGAACTCGCAGCCGCCCTCTGAGCCCTGCGCTCGACCGTGGCCCCATGCACAGCCTTGCTGGCGCTGCAGCTGCCTGTCCCCCAGGTAGCCGCTCACCCCATCCTCACGCTGGCCCCGGGGAGCGGAGCGGGTTACAAACGCTCCTGCCAGCACAGGGCAGGGGGATGGATGCCCAAAGATGGGACGTGCAATTGCTTTTTCCAGCAGGACTGGCATCCACCAGCTTATGGTGCGCATGAAACTCCATCCTCGAGCTAGGCTGGTCCAGAGGGACGCGGCGAACTCCTTCCTGCCCTCAAGGGACAAGATGGGAGTGGGGGCCAGCACCGAAATGCCACCTGGAAGAACCACATTGTCTAATGGATTGGTCCGTGCGCAGTTCAGTGCGACAGCTCAGAGAGGCTCAGACTTACAGCAGGGTGAAGGTACCAGAGCATGAGTCTCTGTGGGATCCGACAGACCAATGCTCGGACAGCCCGATACACACAAACATCAGAGATCACCACCGAGTTTGGAAGAAGCCCGGATGAAGGACTAACCCAAATTCAGAGATCTCTGGCCATCGTGCTTCCACGCGTGGACACACACGTAATGCACCAGAACAGCTATAACTTCACATGGTCAGAGATTGCCCCTTTCACCTGAGAAGCTGAAAGGAGCCAGGGACCAGCCTGCAAACCGGGGACAACAGTCTGAAACAGCCTGGTCCTGGGAGATTTGGTCCCGTGCTTTCCTCGTCTGCCAGTGGCTGGGGATACCTGCTTTGTATTCCTGAAATATAGCTGCAAACTGCAAATATGTCAGCTTCCCCTTGATATCTTCTAAAGTTCTTTGGAATATACAACACTTTAGGTAGGTTGGGCCGTGATTCCGCACACACAAAAGCAGTGGTAATTGAGAATGCAAATTAGGTGAGCAAATACCCAACAGTTTTCCATGCACAGCAGGGAGTATTTGCACCAGGACTTCGAGCTGCTTCTTCCTGCGAGGGGAAAGGCTGTGCTAAAATAACTGTGTTCCTCCAAAAGTCTCTCTTCAAGCAACACCTCTTTTTACCCACGCTGAGTCTAAGATAAACACATCACCACCACGTAAATAGCTCAGAATAGAAGAATTTGAAAGCAATTAAGAAGCCCAAATCCAAAGATTAAGACATTTCACTCCAAATTTGCCCTCGCTTTTCCACTGTCTGACTGCAAAGCCCATAATCCTCAGCAAACCAGAGCTGGTTTTTGTGTTGCCACAGAACCGGGTGATGGCAGGGGAGAGGGGGACCGGGGAGGAGGAAGGATAATGGCCGACTGCCTTCCAAGTCTTTTTGGGAGAGCAGCACTGCCGGGGGAGCCACGGTCCCCACCTCCTCTAACCACAGATGCCTGCGTACGTCTGACTGCTGGAGACATCCCGAGGGACACCGCCATCATCGCTTATTTTGCCTCTCTGATCTGAACACTGCCCCTAAACCAGCTATTTCCTTTCAGGACTTCCTAACCTCTAACGACCCGGGCAGCTTCCAAAAGCCTTTGCTTCCAGAGACAACCCCTCAGGTGCCATCGCTCCTCTCAATGCAGAGTTTCCTTCCAAAACTGCACGGCTCCGTGGTGCAGAAAAGGTAACCTGCCTGACATTTACAGATCAACCTCATGGGTAACAGGAGCTGGAAACTCCTCTGCGC